CCTCTATCTTGGCTGCCACCATGGGCGCTGCGCTGGTCGCAGCTGCTCCCACCGACATCGAGAAGCGCTCCAGCTGTACCTTCACCGATGCCGCCAAGGCCAAGTCTGGCAAGACCTCTTGCTCGACCATCTACCTCAACAACATCGAGGTTCCCGCTGGTGAAACTCTTGATCTGACCGGCCTCAAGTCCGGCACCACTGTAGGACGCCCATGTTCACGAATGCATGGTGCAAGCTAATCATTCCCCCAGGTTATCTTCGAGGGTACCACCACTTTCGGCTACAAGGAGTGGAAGGGTCCCCTGATCTCCATGTCCGGTACCGACATCACTGTCAAGCAGGCCTCCGGCGCCAAGATCAACTGCGACGGCTCCCGCTGGTGGGACGGCAAGGGCAGCAACGGCGGCAAGACCAAGCCCAAGTTCTTCTATGCCCACAAGCTGGACCAGTCCAGCATCACTGGACTCAAGGTCTACAACACCCCCGTCCAGGCCTTCAGCATCCAGGCTGACCACCTGACCCTCACCGATGTGACCATCGACAACTCCTCCGGTACCTCCGAGGGCCACAACACCGATGCCTTCGACATTGGCTCCAGTACCTACATCACCATTGATGGCGCCAAGGTCTACAACCAGGACGACTGCTTGGCCATTAACTCCGGAGAGGTATGATGATCAGCCTCCTTACTATATTGTCAAGCTCAGCATCTAATAATGTCCTCTAGCACATCACTTTCACCAACGGCTACTGCAGCGGTGGTCACGGTCTCTCCATCGGCTCCGTCGGTGGCCGCAGCGACAACACTGTCTCCGACGTGACCATCTCCAACTCCCAGGTCGTCAACTCCCAGAACGGTGTCCGCATCAAGACCGTCTACGATGCCACCGGTACCGTTGAGAACGTCAAGTTCGAGGACATCACCCTCTCCGGCATCACCAAGTACGGTATCGTCGTCGAGCAGGACTACGAGAACGGGTCCCCTACCGGTACCCCCACCAACGGTATCAGCGTCAAGGACATCACCTTCGAGAAGGTCACCGGTACCGTCAAGAGCTCCGCCACTGACATCTACCTCCTTTGCGGTTCCGGCAGCTGCTCTGACTGGACCTGGTCTGGCGTCAGCGTCACCGGTGGCAAGAAGAGCTCCAAGTGCAAGAACGTTCCCTCCGGTGCCTCTTGCTAAGCGGGCGGATTCGTTTCTGCTCGAAGCTTTTTTGGTCATCACAAGAGTGCGATCTCGTGGTGGATGGGGTAGTGTTTCAGGTGGATAGAGTGGCCTGTCAACGGGGAATGGGAGTTAATTCTTTCCAAGCTCTTTGTGAGAGTTAGGCCTTGTGCATGTAATCTATAATTCAGTCAAGAGCAACAATGTACATCTTGATCGGCAGCCACTTTATTTCTTGACCGTGTATAGTATATGTAGCAAAGTAATCATCTGTAGATATTGTATAAATCATAACCTGGACCAGCTCTGTCAGACTAGAATCCCATGCTCACTAAAAATGACCCCGAAATGTATGTATCTCCACACAGCAGCCATCCCCGCACCTGACATGGCCTTTGAAAGGTCTCCGAAACCCTGATCTCACACTGACATACCACTACCCGCAGCTTCGCATCCCCTCTAACTCGAAGAAAATCAAGCAAAGAGGCCCTCTACCTCCATCAAGAAGCCCATCTCCCCATCGTATTCCATCCAAACCTCCCGGATCTTCAGAAACAAGAAACCCAACCCGTTATCTCAGACCACCCCCTCCCCCAAATCCACCAAAGGCAACCCCAACCTCAACCACCCACCAAATCCCGCATAAAAAGAAAGGAAAAAAAAAAGTGCCACAAGCAAGACTCGAACCCCGCAACCTCGCCGCCCCCAAAAAGATGAGCTAAGGGAACAAAAGACATGCTTCGCAAGGTCGAACGCCCAGCAGCTTTCAACCTTGCGAGCCATGCCTCTGCTGGGAGAGGGGTACAATGGGTTATAGCTAAGCCTGCAGGTGCCTGCTTGGCCGTCATTGCTGGGTTTCGGGGGTCTGCGCAACGGGGTGGGTTGGGGGATGTGGAGAAGGGGGAGGGCGTGGGGATGCCGGGTTTTTGGAAGGATGGGTTGCTTATCCCCCTTTTTTTTTTTTTTTTTTTTTTTTTTTTTTTTTTGTGTTGAGGGGTTGGCTGATTTTCTTTGCGATGTGTCTTGATTTTACCTGGTTGTAAGATGGATGATAGGAAGTGAGCTTGGTACATAGGGAGTGACTGAGACACCCTGGCACCCTGGCATCATGGCATCTGGGGAATGGGTGGAAGTAGGACTGCTTACACAGTCGGTATTCAGATTCCTAGTGATGGAAAAAGTGTACTTTTGAGTAATACTTTGATCCAACTATGTTCGATGAAGAAGTCTTTCATCTATAAAAATCCCAAGAAAAATTCGAGCAGGTTGGAAGAAAAGAGAAGGCTGGATCCGATGCTAGGTATTCATAACATATAACAAAAAGAGCTATTCAAGATTCTAGTATGACTTTTTATTTTTCATTTCCTCGTCGCGTCCGTTCACATACTAGAATAAAGATAAAAGTTAGAATATATTATTTCGGACGACGTGTCATTTTGGAAAATGTTATCTTGGACGAGGCCGAGAAGAGGGGTAAACTGACCGGTTGACGGGGCTCAGACCGACGACCCGCATGCCGTTGTGAAGAACCTGGCGGGCAGACTCATACAAGGCCATACGGGCCTTCTTGAGCTCGGGCTCGCTACCGACGACCTTAAGCACGTCGTAGCTGGAGCTCAAGACGTGGGTCATGCGGAAGAGGTAGGTGAGGATGGTGGTGGGCTCCAGGGTCTTGGTGGTGTTGAGCAGAACATCGGGCCACTGGGCGAGCTGGCGGGCGAGGTCGATGGCGTGGGGCTCCTTGAGCAGGCTGAGATCGGCGTCGCCGAGCTCCTCGACGTTGAGGCCGGACTTGCGGACAATGGAGCACAGACGGGCGTGGGCGTACTGGAGGTAAGGACCAGTGTCACCCTCGAAGGAGGTCATGGCATCCAGGTTGAAGTCGTAGCCGTTGATACTGTTTCCGTTTAGTAAAACTACACATCAATTAAGGAAGGAACACATACCGCTTGCCAGTCATGTCCTGGACCATGACGGAGGTAATACCCAGAATGTCGGCGGTCTCCTCGGGGTTGTCGACCTGCTTGTACTTCTCCTCGTTCTTCCTCATGACCTCGTGCATCTTGTCACCCACATCGCGGAGGATGTCGTCCAAGAACTTGACAGTGCCCTTGCGGGTGCTCATACCACGGACCATACCGAAGTTGATGTGCTGGCAGCGGTTGGCCAAGTCCTTGTGGCCCATCAGCTCGGTGATCTTGAACAGCTGAGCCAAGTGCAGATCCTGCTGAGCGGCAACAACGTAGATCATCTTGTCGAAGTTGTACTTCTCCGCACGCTCGGTGATGGCGCCGATATCACGGGTCAGGTAGAGGGGCGTGCCGTCCTTGCGGACAATGATAGCCTTGCCGAGCTTCTTGGCACCGTGCTTGGTGAAGTCGACGATGACAGCACCTTCGGACTTCTCGGAAACACCGGTCTTCTCCAGGGTCTGGTAAGCGGCGGTCATGCTCTCCTGCTTGATCTGAGACTCGCCGGAGTAGACGTCGAACTCGATGTTGAGACGAGCGTAGGTCTGCTCGTACTTCTTGATACTGAGGTCACGGAAGCGGCGCCACAAAGCGAGAGCCTCGGGGTCGCCATCCTCCATGCTCTTGAAGTAGCGACGGGCGCTCTCGTCCTCACTGGCATCGACGAGCTTCTGCAGCTCCAGCTCCAGCTCCGCCACGTCCTCGCCCTTCTCCTTCTTGGCCTTGATCTGCTCCTTGAGCTCCTTGATGGGGGCCTCCTGCTGGGAGACGATGTTGTTGATCTTGACGTAGACGTCGAACAGGTGGTTGATGGGGTCCTTGGTCAATTGCTCCTCATTACCGAACTGCTTGAAACCGTTGGCCAGCAGACCGTACTGCTTACCCCAGTCACCGAGGTAGTTCATCTTGATCACATCCCATCCCATGACAGTGTAGAGATTGGCCAGGAAACCACCGATGATCGTACTGCGCAGGTGACCAGCGTGGAAAGGCTTCGCAATGTTGGGCGAGGAGAACTCGACGATGATTCTCTTGCGACCCTTGGAGGGATCGGCGGCGTCGCGGAGACCCTGGTTACCGTTGGTACCATAGGCGGACTTCTGCTTGAGAATGCGGTTGATGACATCGGAGGTGAGGATTTCCGGCTTGAAGAAGAATTGAAGGTGGACTCCGAAGGGGACGGGGGGGAGGACGAGGTCGGATTCGGGGAACTTCTCGGCGAGTTCCTTGCAAAGCTCCTGGGGGTTCTTCTTGATTTGAAGAGCGGCGACCTACAATGCGTGACATCACATTAGTCTGTTTGTCGCAAAAGAGCCCTGGCAGTCCACGCAGTCCACGAAGGTTTTGGAGCCCAAGGTGGGATGTTTTGGTCATATATCGCATACCGGGAGCACCAAGTCACCCTTGTCGAGGGAGTTCGTCCATGACAGGCGAGAGTAGATCTTCTCGGCGTCAATGTCGGTGGCAGCACTCAGCTTCTCAGCGATGTGCTCTCTGTAGACATCGACGACGTTCAAGGAGGGGTAGCAGTTGGGGAACTTGGAGGTCTCGGTGGTGGACTGGAGCGAGAGTCCCTCCACGGAGGAGACGAGGTCGGCAGCGGAAGACATGACGGCAGCTACGTTCTTCAGATGCGTCGCAGTAGCAAAAGAGGAACGCCAGGGAGGGGTTAATTGAAAGGGAGAAAGAGCACAGCCAGAGGAGGAAAGGAAGAAACGACGACTATTTTGTGGACAGTATGACTGGGCGGAAGCAGTCTTGAAAACGGCGTTAGAAAATCGCCGGGCCCCGCTTACCAGAAGGCGACCCATAAATGGAGGGGAAGGAAAGGGAAGGGAAGGGAGGGAAAAGCACGCCCAAGCCATACAACTTTTTTTCTTTCGCTCATTGACTGACTCAATGCGGCAGGCCGCCCACCATTCTGCCATAGGCGGTGACTGGATCAGACAAAGTCACATGTTCTAACTGTTACACGTGACTCCTAATAGCCCTTGGGCAAGCCCTACCCCTGTCATAGCCCGATTCAGTATAGCCTCTCCTGACGTCACTCCTCAGCGCAGCGGTCTCCTCATGGTCACCTGTTCGACCGCGAGTTCATCAACACGAGTTTACTTGCACTATCCAGTCTACCACCTCATGATGCACTGTCACCTTTCCAGCCTCCTCTTCTACCAAAACACTGCAACCCCCCTCACGCGACACCAACATGGGTAACAGCCGCCACGCGGCCCTGTCCAAGTCCATCCAGCGCGCGATCTTCCGCGACCCAGCCAGCTTCCGCAAGACGGTGCTCGGCCGATTCCTCGCCTTCTTCACCATCCTCTACATCAAACTCATCCGGTACGGCCACGTGCAATTCCAGAAGTTGCGCAGCGAGGTCTGGCAGATCGACGAGGAGGAGTACAAGGCCAGCTTCCGCAATGATAGCAAGAAGACCGTGCCCTTGAGGCCGATGGGCGACCTGGGTCTCTCCGGATCGGTATGCGCGTATCCAGATTCTCTTTTATAGATGCGGAAGGCTAACTTTGGCTTGTGCTGCCGCAAATCAGACCTTCTTCAGCACCTCCAACTCCCGCTTCCTGGTCAAAAGCCTGCCGCGACACTTCGAACACTCCTTCTTCCGCGAGGAGCTGCTCGATCCGTACTACAAGTACATGACGGAGCATCCGCAGTCCCTGCTGGTGTGGATCACCGACTACGTCTACTCGCCGTACTGGACGATCGGGAACCTGGTCGGCACCACCCCGGCCCACCACATCATCATGGAGAACCTGCTCTGCGGCCGGGACACCGACCCCGCGGGCGAGCGGTGGGAGACCTACGACCTGAAGCCGGTCGATTATTTCTTCCCGGAGCGAGATCTGGTGCCCGATCCGCTGGTCAGCAAGGCTACCTTGAGCAAGATCGCCGATAATTTCAATGACAAGGTCCGCATCAGCCAGTCGGCGTATGTCGCCCTCATGCAGACCGTCGAGGCCGACACGCAGTTCCTCGAGGCCGCCAACGCGGTGGACTACTCCCTGTATCTGGTCCGCTTCCCGGCCGCCTCGACGCCAGATATCGTCGGGCGGCCCGTTCCGTGGCGAATTGGGTTGGAGTCGGCCGATGGGAAGTGGAAATACCGCGCCGTCATCTTGGATTTCTTCTGGGCCAGGCACAAGCTGCATGCTCAGGCCATGACCGGAGTGATTCAGACCTTCAATGTCATTGGCCGCCAGGGGCCAATGACCATTACAACCACGCCAGATGAGTACAGGAAGAAGTTTCTGACCATGGTGAAAGCCATGATCGAAGTACAGGAGTGAGCCTATTCAAGCGAATTCAATACCACTCATAATGTCTATATCTCTGCACAGAGTAATTATGATAATATCATATCGTTTAAAAGGCCAGGTGCGACTTGGCCCTGTCAATATCGTTTCGTTTTGGGTAGATTCCGCTTTTGCGCATTCACTCATAACACCGTATATCTGCAACCCCAAGATAACCAAAGATACAACCTTTCATGCTGTGACGTTCTATCATATCTATAACGTGTGGGGTATCGGCACTCAGGCACCGGTACACCGGACTGCGAGACGAATACAAGACGCTGCAACCCAGGCGCAAGCCACTTAGAAGCAAAAGACCTGGTCCTCGAGCTTGCTGACGGGGCGAGCCTTGGTGTAACCAAGAGACTCGGTGGCCTTCTTCATGGCGCTGACCATGGGAGGAGGACCGCAGAGGAGGATCTTGATGTCGCTGGCGGGGGCAGGGAGGCGCTCCTGTAGTCGAAGAAGCATTGTTAGCATGTGGAGTATATTGAATCGACTGACGGGTGCAACGAACCTTGATCATGTCGGGAGTCACGAAGCCAACGCCACCGGTCCAGCCCTCGGGAGGGTTGTTGAGGACGTAGTAGATGCGGAAACGGTCGTCCTCCTTGGCCAGCTGCTCGAGCTCGTCCTTCATGAGGATGTCATCGGGGTTAACGTTGGCGAAGATCAGGTCGACCTGGGTGTTGTCGTTGCCACCGTTGCGAGGGCGGTTGCGGACAATAGCCTTGATAATCTGGTACATGGGAGTGATACCGGTACCTCCGGCGATCATACCAATGTGACGGCACATGTTGGGGGTGTAGACCATGGCACCCTTGGGACCGCGGACCTTCATGGTCTGACCGACCTGCAGGGTAGTCAAGTACTTGGAGATGTTACCCTGGGGGTAAGCCTTAACCAGGAGATCGAAGTAGCCGGCCTCATTGTCGGAGGAGATGGGGGTGTAGGAGCGGACAACCTCCTTGGGCTGACCCTCAATGTTGGCAGCGAGAGAGATGTGCTGACCGATGGGCAGACCCAGGATGTCGGTGGGGCGGGGGAGAGCGAAGCGGTAGATAGTCACATTGTGGGAGATGTCGGTCTTGGCCTTCAAGGTGAAGTGCTGGAACTCAGTGGGGTTGAGGACCTTGCGCTGCTCTGGAGAATGCGATTTCAGATCAGTTACCTTGTTCGTTCAAGTAAGTCTGACAAGTTTATATTGATGGACATACTGTTGCTGAACAGCTTCCAGCCGAAGAAGACAGCAGCCAACGCGACCGCGAGGGGAACAAGGGCCGAGAAAGAACTGGTCAAGGATTAGTTTGTCAGTCCCCAATGGCATGCGCATTGTGGAAAATATGCGTGAGGGCCACAAACCTCATGATGACGGCTCCTCCGATAGATTGAAAAGTAAGTGACAACGGAATGGGAGGGGAGAGTGGAGGAGGAATGGAGGGGGCGGAGAAAGAAGAAGAAGAGGAAGAAAGTCAGAAATAAAGGTGAGTCGGTAAAGGGACAGCCGGCAAGAGGAGACTCAAATGTTTTGTGACGGTAAAAACAGCGGCAATCCCAAGTCACGGGAGGGGGAATTCCCGATTGGGTAATTTGGTAAATTCAATGGGTCTGGATCGGCTGCTTATCGATAACTCGATAAGTCGATAACCTTGAAGTTGAATTTGTTTACTGTTAGGACTCAGAACAATAGATGGAGCAGTTATACATTTCTACTAGGTATTGACTTGGACTATACAATATAGTACACTAAGTCTGGAAGTCATGATGCTCTCAGTCTGTCCAAGCATTCAATGTCTCCAGGATTCTAACAATACGTCTATTGACCTGTTGTGAATGACCAATACACAACCAGACCCGCGCGGAATCCAGCCCCGTTGGGGATTTCCTTTCCCTTTCCCTGTTCTTCACTTGGGGTAAAGAAACCCGTCAATTCAAGGTTCTCCCCCTCACGCCACTTTAAGGCTCCGACCCTGATTTTCCCTATCTTGTTCAACAATTCCGATCTCCATTCTTTCTTTTCGCCCTTCTCCTTTAGTCCCATATTGCATACTCCATGATCATAGATCTCCTCCCCTCCCCTCCCCTCATCGCCCCTCCATTCCATTCCTAATCAGACATCCTCTTCCAGCCATGACGATCGACACCAACCCGGCCGAAGAGCCCCCAGCATTTAACCTAACCGAGGTCGATCGTCAGGTCCTCGCGCAGACCGACGAAGAATTTATACTGCACGACTGGGAGGATCTCAAATCCATCATAGGTGTGTGTGCCTGTTGTTGAATCTAGATTATCTTCACTTTCTTGAAGGTTCCATCACCACCATACGCTATCTGATCCTACTATTACCTCTACCTACCCCTCACTCCTTTCCCCTCCCCCCCAAAAACAATCCCGCCTGGAATTCCGCATTTCCCACCCACGGAAACAACCACTAACCCAACGCCCCTCGGCAACCACCCAAAAGCGCGCAACGATCTCGGCATCCTGAAGCGGAAACCCTCCGACCTGCACCGCTACCTGGCGTGGTCGGCGTCCACAAAACAGAAATACGGCTCCATCACCAACTACATCTGCCAGGAGCGACTGCACTGGGCGCTGCCGGACACGACGACGGCGACGACGACCACCACGACCACCACCACCATCACCGCCGCCGCCACTCACACCAACAAGCCCGGAGTAACTTCCCCTACTATTACCACTGCAGCGGGAGTCCCCGCAGATAGCGGGCCCGTCTTCCCCTACAACAACCCCACCCCCTTCGCCGACCCGGCCGACTACAAGATCCTGCGGAATGACTGGCCCTACGGCCTCAGCCCGGGCATCGCGCACCTGGTCGTCTGGCTCCGCACGCCCGTGGCCGTGAACCCGGACGACGGGGATCTGACACCCGAGTCGCGCGCCCTGATCGAGGGATTCGTGCTGCGCACGTTCGTGGGCCGGTTGGCGGCCGAGCAGCGCAACGGGGGTGGAGGGTTGTTTGCCGACTCGCCGCGCGACCATGTGCTCTGGTTCAAGAACTGGACTGCGCTGCAGAGCGTCCGCAGTTTGGAGCATATCCATGTGCTGGTGCGGGACGTGCCGGAGACGATTCTGTTGGAGTGGACCGGGGAGGGCCCGCCGCAGCATTGAGATGCGCCCCCTCCAGGGAATATGCATATAGATATATATCCATGCCTATAGCCTCCATTTATCTCGGTTGTCTTTGAAGCGAAACGATCTGTCGCGTTTGGCGCATTCCCCAGCTTCTAGCCATTTATGGAATTCCTCGATTGAACCTTAGTAGCATTGGGAATCGTAAATCTTCAGACAAAGCATGCATCAGCGACAGCTTTAAGAGTACAACAACCGACCATGAAAAAAATGAGGACAACATCGAGGAAATGATCATTGCTCCCTCTACATCAAACTATGTAAATCTTGCCACTGCCACAAGGGAAAAAAAAAAAAAAAAAAACGTAAAACCCATCAAATGCGCCGGCTCCGAAACCCATTTCCAGAAACAATACCCTAGCCCACCGACTGATCATGTCTTTTGCTCTTCCACAAACTTCAACGCCTCTTCCCGCGACACCACGTCGATCGTACTGGCCTTTTGCCGGAAGCTGACGCCGTAGCACTTCTCGGCCACGTGCAACATCTCCGGGCGGAAGGTCGTGCAGATGAACTGGCCGTTCGTGGAGTCCGAGATGGACTTGAGCATCTGCGCGACGGCGGTGCGATACTGCGCGTCGAGGTTGGCGTCGATCTCGTCAAAGAGGTAGAAGGGGGCCGGGTCGCAGGCCTGGATCGCGAAGACCAGAGCGAGCGCACACAAACCTGTTAATGTACGGGTTAGTCGAATGGAAAACAGAAGGTAGATGATCACGAGAGAGAGAAGAAAAACAACGAAAGAAAGGGAGGTCTTACTCTTCTGTCCACCGCTGAGCTGCTGGATCCGCTGCTGGTCATCGTGCTTGCTATTGAAGCTGACGCTGATGCCAACGCCAACGTAGTTCTCCACGCTTTCGCGGGTCTCGTCCTCGGACTCCAGGTCGTCGGGCTGGCGGAGAGCGCGGTCCGTCTTGCGCTGAATGATCAGGCGCCCACGGCCAGCCGGGACAAGCTTCTCGAACACGTTGTGAAACTCGCGGGAAACCTGCTTGAAGGTACGCTCGATGGCCTCGTCCTTGCGCTGGTCGAGGACGGTGATCAGATCATCGATCGACTTTTCGGATGCCTCGAGCTCCTCTCTGCGGCTCGTCAGCGTTTCACGCTGCTTGGTGAAGCTGTTGTACTGCTCAAAGGCCTTCTTGTTGACGTGGGAGTACTTCTTGAGGCTTTCGTTGGTCTTGTGCAGTTTCTTGACCACCGTGTTCGAGTCGGTGTTCTTGTACTTGCTGAAAGCTTCGTCCGGTAGCACACCCAGGTCGCGGATGTTGGCGGCACATTCAGCCGCCTGTTTGGTCAAAGCGGCCTTCTTCTGCATGCTCTTCTCCATGCGACGCTGGTGTTTCTCGATGGACTTGGCCAGTTCTTCGAGCTCACGTCGGGTCTCGGCGTTCCGCTGCTCGAGCTCGGAAACTCGAGCAGTAGCCTGGTCGATCGAGTCATCCACCTGCTGCAGTCGTTGAGCAAGCTTCTCTAGGGCCTTGTGCAGGCGCTTCATCTCCCGCTGTGTCTCCTTCAGGTTGCCTTGGCCATCGTCGTCGGCCATATCCATATCCTGCCCTATGAGCTGGTCCAACCGAGGGTTAAGGTTCTCCCGCAGTTCCACCTCGAGAACCGACTTGCGAGCTTCAAGCTCGCTACGCTGACTGGACAGCTCTTGGTATTGACGCCGCAGCTCTTGCGCAGTGTTGTTGAGGGTCTCCAAGCGCGCTTCTTCCTCGTTACTGAGCGCCTTCTGGAACGGTGATTTCAGTTCCGCCTCGAAAGCATTGACTTGATCAGACAAAGCAGCCAGGTTGTTCTCAATGTTGCGGATAGCTCGGCGTTTGGCTTCCAGGTTGTCGGTCTTCTTCTGGAGAAGATCGCGCTTGGCCTTAAGCTCTTGTCGCATCGGCCCGCTGCTGTTCTGCACCTGGTGTCTCTGTTGTTCCAATTTCTGCAGTTCGCCGACAGATTTCGTGATGAGCTGGTCAAGCTGCTCCAGTTCCTTTCGGATCTCGGTCCCGCGGCTCTTCTTGCTCTCATACTCGTCTCTCCACTTCGTCAAGTTCTTGACGGCATCGAGTCTTGACTGTCGCGAATCGTGGAAGCCACCGGTGAGGGCGCCTCTCTTGTCAGAACGATCTCCCTCCGGCGTGATTGCATTGACTCCGTGGCTGCGGGCATACTGTGAAGCGACCTGCAGATTCGGGCAAATGATGGTCTTGCCGAATACGTGGTTGAAAGCTTTCTCGTATTTCGCGTCAAATTGGAGTTTCTCAATCATGGGGATCGTGTCGCTTGCTCTGGGCATATTGATTGGTCTGGTGCGTAGCCGGTTCAAAGGCATGAATGTGACTCGGCCAGCCTTCTCCTGCTGGAGGATCTCCAAGACTTTCGTGGCAGTCTCGTCGGTATCGACAACGTAGTGGAAGAGACTTTGACCCGCTGTAACTTCGACGGAGGTGCGATACCGATCGCTGACCTCAAAGAGTTCCGCCATTGTACCGTATACTCCCTCGAGATTGTACTGGCGCTTGATCCGTCTGACGGCCGCAATGCCGCGGCTTGTGTTGTGATCCATCATCTGAGATAGGTTACGTTCCGCGCGCTCCACTTCGTTCGAGGCATTGGAAAGAATTGAGTCCAGCTTGGCCTCTTCTCTCCATAGCTCCTTTCGCTGGTCCATCAAACGGTCCCTCTCATCCTTGGCGGATTGAACCAGCTGTTCCACGGACTGCATAGTGTCTCCTCTGCCCTCAATCATTTTGCGCAGGCGTTCAGTCTCCGGCTCGAGAAGCGCAATCTCATTCTCAAGCTCCTTGATATCCTCCTGGGTCTGCGCCATGACGTCCTGGACGGAAGAAATGGAAGCATAATTCTCCTTGATCTCAGTCTGAAGCCACTTGTCGCGCTCACTCTTGTTGCGGAAACGGGAGTTGCGACCTTGCTTAGCGTACAGCCGTTGGCGTGCCGTCTCTGCTTCGGTGAGCTTGGCCTTGACAGCCTCCTCCTGATCCTTGGCAGCGTTGAACTGGGGTAGAAGCTCCTGCAATTCCGCCTCACGCTCCTGGATCGCCTCCTGCACGGTCTTGAGATCTTCATCGTGACGTGCCTTGAGCGCCAGAGCGGCAGCCTGGTTGTCGGACAGGGACTTGGCCTGCAACTCGACCTGCGCCAGAGCTTTGGAAGCCTCGCGACGCTCGTCTTCCAATTGAGCTTTATCGACCTTCAGGAATTCGATCTGCTGTTTGCACTCGGCGATTTCCGAGTCAATCTGCGCCATCTCCTTCTCTCCCTGGATGAAGCGATCGCGGTTCATATCAGTGTCCTCCACGCCCGTCTGCCTTTGCTCCTCCAGACTGTCGAGGAAACTGGCAATCTCCTGCTGCTCGCGAGAGTAGATGGTGTATTCCAAGCATCTGCGTTCCTTGTCCTTCTCCTGATAATTCCGCAGCTCGTCCTTCTCCTCCTCGAGTTCCGCCAGACGCTCGTTGATGAAATCCAGCAGCTCGTCGATCTTGGCTCGTTTGTTGTTCGTCTCGTGCATGATCTTCAGAGACTCTGCGCGGCGGGCCTCGTAGACCTGGGTTCCGGCGACTTCCTTGAGGAGATTGAGGCGCTCCGAGTCCTTCATGTTGGTCAGGGCCGTCACGCGACCCTGGGGCACAATGTAGTACGGATTGGACCGGGAGAAACCGGCCGACTCGAGCAGGTTCATCACGTCGGATTTGGTGGCGTTCTTACGGTCGAGGGTGTATTCGTCTTTCTTGAGGCCGATCGTGCGACGAAGCACCACCTCCGGTTTGCCGGTGGGGAACCGATCGTCCGAGTTGTCGAAGATGATTTCCACGTACGCCGACATCACCGCGGAGCCTGATCCTTCCTATTGTCCTGTCAGCTTCCTCGTGGGTGAGCGGGCGTGGGGGGTGCAGTTCCTCGGGAAGCCACGTACATGAAGAAGCGCCTGGCGCTCTTCTCTGCCCAGGTGTGTGTAGGCATCACTGAGAACGAAACGGATGGCCGCGAAGAAGTTACTCTTGCCGGATCCATTGCGACCCACGATCACATTGTGCTTCGGCGAGAACGGTTCAATGACTGTTTGGTCCTTGTAGCTGTAGTGACAAATCGTCTTTAGCTAGACGTCCCGGGACTCAGGACTAAACATACAGTCTCTTACCTCTTAAAGCCCTGGATGATAATCTGTTTGACGTACATCTTGACGAAGCGGCGCGCATGAGACACGAGAAACAATGGCAGTCGATTACAACAACCAAGTCATCACGCGTCAACCACAGACAAGAAAGACCACAGAAGCCTGCACCCGAGTGGGAGATCAATTGGGGCGGCTAGAGGATCAAATCACAACCACCGGAAGTTAGGTGACGCTTGCGACGAAATGGTGGAGAGCTTTGAGAGCGAAACCACGCGTGACAAACGACCCGATATTGTCGGTGTTCTTCGCAAAGCGCGTTGAGAGCCGCGGGGTTTCTGCCGGGCGGTGACCGTCCACTTTTGGGGCCCGCACTCAAGGTACCCGGCCGCCGGCTATTTTTTTTCCCAATCCGCAATTGTCCAATCCTTTTTTTTTTGAGAGGCAACAATCCGGAGGAATTCCTGCCACGTTGTTGTTGCAGAGTTCCATTTTGTCGACCATGGCGACTTCAAGCACTGATGCGCAAGCATCCGGTCTGGCCGATGGAATGGCCCCCGCTCACACTTACATCCCCAACCAAGGGTATGTGAACGCTGATGGCAGTCTCCCCGCGATGGCGGGGCAAGATCCTGAAGCGCAGAACGGCGGCGAGGGAGATGAGGAGGACGAGTACTACGACGACATTTTCGGAGAAGAGGAAGAGGAAGACGAGGGCCTCGACGAAGAAGACTTCAACTCCTCCAACCCGGCGGATCTCACAAAAGCCTACAACCGGCAACGCAAGGTCAACGAGCTGGCCGCCGATTCCAACGTCCCCAAGTGGACCTATCCGAAGACGAACACGCAGAAACCGACGGTTAACACACACGCCTTGGTCGACGACCAGATCAAGTCCCTGACGAAACACGCCGGCAAGATCAAGTTGGACGCCATGCAGTCGGGCGTGGCCGCCCGCGGGGACCGCGGT